TTCTGCTCTTCTGAATCACAATGCTGCAAACTGATTTCCTTTTCCTTGATGAAATTTCTGATGACATGATATTTCACCTTGATGTGCTTTGTTCTTCCATGTTGAATTGGATTTCGAGCTATTGAAATTGCTGACATATTATCAATCTTCAAAACACATGCTTCGTCTTGATTAAAACCCAAATCAACGAGCATTTTCCTCAACCATACAGCTTGATTTGCAGCTCCAGATGTTGCAACATATTCTGCTTCAACGGTGGATTGTGCTACCACATCTTGCTTCTTTGAAATCCAAGTAAATGCTCTGGAACCAAAAGAAAAGACATAATCAGTTGTGCTCTTCATATCATCTTCACAACCAGCCCAATCACTATCAACATAACCTTCAAGTTTTCCTTTGCAACCCATTTCATGCCAGATACCATAATCAAAAGTTCCTTTTAGGTACCTGAGAACTCGTTTAGCTGCTGAAAAATGAGTATGACTGGGTGAGGACATGAATCTAGAAAGAAGACTCACTGAATACATTAAATCTGGCCTTGAAGCTGTTGAATATAGTAGACTGCCAATTAAGCTCCTGTACTGAGAAGAATTTGCCTTCTCTTTTCCATCATCAATCACATATTTTTCATTGAGAACCAAGGGAGTTGCCATTGGCTTGCAGTCTTCCATTCCAAATTTCTTCAATACGTCAAGTGCATACTTTCTTTGTGACAGAAAGATGCCATTTTTGCACTGTTGAATTTCCATTCCAAGGAAGTATTTCATCTCACCCAAGTCTGACATTTCAAAGTCTTTCATCATTTCAGCCTTAAAATTGTTCAAGAGGTGCTCATTACCACCTGTTAACAACAAATCATCAACATATAAAGACACTATTAGTTGAGAATCAGAATTTGTGCCCTTGACATATAAAGTAGCCTCATTTTCGCTCCTCCTGAAATCCTGTTGTAGAAGATAATCATCAATTCTACTGTACCAGGCCCTTGGTGCCTGTTTCAGACCGTACAAGGCTTTGTTAAGCCTGTACACATAGTCCTCTTTTCCAGCAACTTCAAAACCTTGAGGTTGTTCAACATAAATTTCTTCCTTTAGGATTCCATTCAAAAAGGCTGATTTAACATCCATATGATAGAGTTTCCAGCCTAAATTTGTAGCTAAAGCAACAAGGAGTTTAATTGTATCATGCCTAGCTACTGGTGCAAAAGTCTCACCATAATCAACTCCGAGCTCTTGAGCATAACCTTTGACCACCAACCTGGCCATGTATTTATGAACTGACCCATTGGGATTCAATTTTGTTCTATAAACCCATTTTACCCCAATAACATTTTTGTCTTGAGGTTTTTTTGTGAGATACCAGGTTTTGTCCTTCTCTATCATAGCTATCTCCTCTTGCATAGCTTGCAACCAAACATCTTGTTTTGCAGCAGCTTCATAACTTGATGGTTCTGAACTAGCCAAATTACAACTCTCATACACTTCAGATAAGGACTTTGTCTTCAAAATTGGAGAGTCATCATCAACTTCAGCAATCTCTGTATTTGAAGGCATGCTGGAGCTTGTTGAACTTTTAGAATTTTTCTGCACATCATCTGTTTTTTCAACTTTTTTTGCTTCCCAATTCCAGAAGCCTCCTTCGTCAAAAGTCGCATCTCTACAAACATTGACTTTCTTGGTTTGAATGTCATAAATTCTATAGCCTTTTGACTGAGTGGAATATCCCACAAAAATTCCCACATTTGCTTTCTGGTCCAATTTTCCTCTTTTAATGTCAGGAATATGAGTATAACATACTGAACCAAAAATTTTTAAATGATTTGCAGAAGGCTTCATGCCGTACCAAGCTTCAATTGGTGTTTTATTCTTGACAACTTTAGTGGAAACACCATTCAGCAGATATACTGCTGTATACACAGCTTCAGCCCAAAAAGATTGAGGTAGCTTCTTCTCTAACATCATGCACCTGGCCATTTCCATAACTGTCCTGTTTCCATTATGTTGTGGAGTATAGCTGACTGTAAGTTGGTGTTGGATGCCAGCCTCTTCACAAAAATTATTGAACTCAGCAGAGGTATATTCTTTACCATTGTCTGATCTAAGCTTTTTAATTCTATATCCACTTTGGTTTTCAACCAAGGCCTTGAACTTCTTGAACACTGAGAACACTTGAGCTTTGCTACTTAAAAAGTAAACCCATGTCATTCTAGTGAAATCATCAATGAATAGAATGAAATACTTGTTTTGGCCCAAAGAAGGAACTTTCATGGGACCACAAATATCTGTATGGACAAGCTCTAGCTTTTACAAGCTCTAGCTTTTACAAGCTCTAAATGCCTTGTTGATAGGAAATGATAGCCGATGCATTTTTCCAAGTTGGCAACATTGACACACTTCATTAGTTACATGCACTTCTGGAAAGTCTCTGATCAATTCATTAGTTTGCATGTATTTCAATGCTTTGACATTAAAATGGCCATATCTCTTATGCCACAAAAGTGTATCATTGACTTTGGAAGCATGCAAGCATTTCTAAACAGATTGCATATCTAAAAGAAAACTATTCTGGACCATCTTAACTCTAGCAACCTCCATTCCAAATGAGTCATGAATATAGCAAAAATCATTTTTAAATGACAAAGAATAGCCTTTTTTCATCATCTGAGCAACAGACAACAAATTTTGACTTAAGCTGGGCACAGATAACACTTCTGAAATTAGCTTAGTACCTGAACTTGTTGGGATTACTGTTGTTCCCTTTCCTTATGAGAAAACCACCGTGCCATTTCCAAGCTTGACACTTGTTTTCACTGATTTGTCCAAGTCCAAGAAAATACTTTCATCTCGAGCCATGCTTGTACAACCACTATCAATATACCAAGAACTGGCAGAAGTTGAAGAGCTGCTCGAGGAAGCTACAAACATGTAATTTTGTTGTGCATGTTTATCAGCATAATTTGCTTTCTACTGTTGCTTTGGTCTGTATTGAGGTTGCTGTGTTAGTTGAGTTTGCTGAGCTTGTTTAGCTCTGCAATCTCTCTCCATATGGCCATATCTTTTGCAAAATCTGCACTGGATTTGAGATTTTCTTTTTACCCAACATTTCCTTTCTTCACGGTTGGTTTTTTGGCAGTGTCTACAAGGAGGAAATCTCCCTCTTCTTGATTGAAAAGGTTGATAGCTTTGTTGACCTGAACTATCTAACATCTTTTCCTTTTCATATTCTGCAAAGTTTGGTGTCTCTACTGCTTGCTTCCCTTTTTCCTTTGCTTGAAGGGCTTCTTCAAGAACTTCGGCAGCACCTTTAATGGACAGCCTTTGCTCATAAGCTTTTAGCTTGCTAATGAGCTCATTAATGGTAAGCTGATTCAAGTCATTAGACTCTTCTATTGCTGAGATCTTTGATTCAAACTTGTCTGGTACACTAACCATTATCTTGTCAATAACTCTTTTATCTGGAAAATCCTCACCTTGAAGTCTGATTTGGTTGACGATGTCTATCAACTTGGTTGAGTACTGATGCACTATCTCTATCTCTTTCATGGCTAACATTTCAAATTTCCTTTTTAGTGTAAGCAGATTGTTGTCTTTTACTCTGTTGTCACCTTCAAACTCCTTTTGAAGAGTGTCCCAAGCACTTTTTGTTGTTTCTGCCCTCATGATTCTTGGAAAGATTGAGTCTACTATTCCATTATGGATGTATGAAAGGGCTCTATAGGAGTTTTGAACATATTTTGCATGTTGCTTCAACTGTGTTACAGTTGGGTTGTTTGGTAGCCTGGGAGGATTAAAGCCATTTTCTACTGAGTCCCACACACCGTTGCCTTTTAGGAATGCTTTCATTTTGATGGCCCACATGTTGTAGTTCTGGCCTGTGAACAGAGGAGGATTGGAGAAAGATCCTGTTGATGTGTTGTTTGTAGCCATGGCTGTGTTTCTTTGCTAGCACAGCTTCTCTCCCTCACTTACTCTCGTGTTTACTTTCTCTCACACACACCTCTCACTATTTTGTTCTCACATGTCCCTCAAGAACATCAGTTCTGATACCAATTGATAGATTTTTGGATGAAGAAGATTTAAGAACAAGAACTTAGCAAAAGACTTTGATGAAAAAAACACAGGTCTGGATTTTCGTTTTTCCAACCTTTCTCACATTCATTTCATCTTCTTCTACACCTAATATTTCATACAAGTGTAGCTTAAATAAAAGGAGGGAATACATTGATTACATGTTTGTT